GGGGTTAATTAATGAATTATTTGACTCTGTGGATTTAAAGGGAAAAAGGTTGGGCTGGTGTGTGGAAGGAGCTGTATGACTGATGGTTAGTAAATTCCAACTGAAGAGATGTCCTGTTACTAGTCTCATTAATTGCTATGGATCTAGATTAACACACTGGACATCTCAAAGCACTTTACAGCAAGTTAAGTATTTTAAGTGTGATCATGGTTGCCAAGCAGGAAAGGTGGCAACTAATAGGTGCACAACAAAATCCCCCAAACTGCAATGTAATGGTGATCAGATAAGCTGTTTTCTATAATTGTGATTGAGGGATAAATATTAACCATGATGCCAGAGAAAACACTTCTACCATTCTTCAAAATAATGCTACCTGAAATGGCACACATGGTCTCATAAAGATGCTAAGTAATGTGCCTGAAGATCCATGCAAGACAAATCTTCCCTGACCGGAAGGTGCTGTAAGTGAAGACACTAGATACTTCTTTAAAGTAGGTATTGCAATAGGTCAACATAATATGACTAGGGAGAATAACGAAGGAGTGTTTTCTTTCCACCCATCTATCCTTTGGATATAGGCTTCATGAACAATGGCAACATTTATTACCCATTCCCAATTACCACTGAGGAGGTGGTGGTGAGTCCCTGTGTTGAACTGCCGCAGTCTATTTAGTGTAGGCATATCCACAATGCTGTTAGGAAGTAAGTTCCAAGATTTCAAACCAGTGACAATGAAATAATTGTGATTTATCTTCTAATCAGGCAGTGTGTGAAGTGGACAATTGCTTGTAGATTGAGGAATGATGCTTTTCTAGGTTGTAGTATTTGCTTGTTTGGGAGAGGTTGTAGTAGAAAACTTGCTATCATCCAACTTGTAGATGATATGGGGTAGCCCCAGTATGCTGATGCTGCAGGGAGTTAACATTTATGATGCTGGATGCAGTGCAAAAAATGTAGATTTATTTCTACTGGATAGTGACTAGATATTTTACTTACGCTTTTCAAGCATTTTTAGAACTGTATTCATCCAGGCAAGTGGAAAATTCTTCCACTACGCTCCTGATGTATTCATTGTACATGATAGAAAGGATCGGAGGAGTGAAGAGATGAGTTACTTGCAGAACAAGTAAATTCTGATACTACTCTTGTAGCCATAGTTTTGGCTGGTCCTGTTAAGCTTCTGGTCAACAGCAACACCTAAAATGTTGATGATGAAGGATTCAGTGATGCTGATGCTGCTGAAGGTCAATGAAGATGGTTAAAGTTTTCTCTTTTTGTAAATGGTCATTACCTGGCATTTGCGTGGCACTAATATTACTTTGCAATTATCAGCCCAAGCCTGAGTTTTGTCCAGTTTTGTCTGAAAGCAGACACAGACAGTTTCATTACCTGTACAGCAGCAAATAGAACAGAACCCTATATTGAATAATCAGCAGTGAACACCCCCACTTGGATCTTATTTTAGAGAGACAATCACACAAGAAGCCGCTGAAGTTAGCTTAGATGATGGGTTGAATAATCTGTAGTCAATTTAGCATTGGAGAAACAACTGTCACTTGTGTTTAGTACATGGAAATATTTAATGAGTTTTATGATTAAATGTATACAAATGTGAATAATATTTGTAAGATCGTAAATTGATCAGTATTGCCTACTATGCAATGGATTCTAACACATGTCTAAAAGTAGCAATTAAATTCACAGTGATGGAGGGCGGAAGAGTAGTGTGACCTTGTGTCCTTTGGATGGAATTTGTTTGTTCACCCCTTTCCTATAAATAATCTTTGCCAGTCAGCAATACTGAAACTCAGACTTCATTATGAACCAATTGGTTTTAAACTTGGATTAACAAAATCAGATTAAATAACTTGCTCAGACAAGTCTGGACCAAATTGCTAAACCAGTATTAATCCATGGTTGTGGTGTATGCCAGGCTGCAATCTCACCCTACAACGTACATCAGAATTTCATCAGACATAACCTAGAATACTTTTATGAATTAATGGTGCTGAAGTTAGAAGAGTTAAGAAAATGTTGCGCTCTTAATGAAAGTATGATATGGGAGTCAAAGAAAACAGCACAGCTGGTGCCTTGCGATTGATCCAAACACTTACAGAAGTGTACACTGCAGAATTCCTGTAGTAGTTTCTGGATCCTTTGCTGCAACCACGGTGGAAGGGCAATTGCAAATTCAGGAGGAATATTCAGTTAAGTTGATTCTTATTGATTTCCACCAAAATTACAGTGGGAAATGAGTAGAATATTAATGAATAATTACGAATGTTTCTACTCTCTGCTGGCAGTGGTCTCCTGTAACAGTCATTTTTGTTTCTCACAAGAAACACATAAATAGTTCAACAAAATATTGATACCATGGATTAAGGGGGAGGAAGTGGGAACAGAAAGTTACAAAAACCATTGGCTGCCAGGACTAAAACTCAACGCAGTAACATAAATGAAATGTCGTGCTGATGTTATCCCCCTCCCAACAGTAACATCTTTACATCTTAAAGACAATTGGCTAAAATGTTAAATTCAGTACACCTCCTATTAAAGCCACCAACCAAAGTATATCAACCAAAGCACAGATCCAAACAAAGTGTGTTTAGTGGCCCAGAATTTTGCCAATATTCACCTGATGATAGCCTGGATTTTCAAAAATAAAACCCCAAAATTTTCACTTTCGTTATCATTTCTGAAACTAAAGAAAATTAAAACAAATCAAATACTGTATTGTAAAAATGTAAATCAGTATATTTGAAAACTATTCTGCCCGGTAGAATTGACATCTAGCTTTGTACTTGCTTTTGTAAATTAGTTCAGGAATCAAAGATTTGTGTGTGTGTGTGTGTGTGTGTATGTGCGCGCATGCACATGTGCATGTGTGTGTCTGTTTGTACAGAAATAAGACCGTTCTACATAAATTGCACAATCCTGCCAGTACTTACAGATTTGTGGTTCAACATAATTGGTTACCCTATTTATGGACTCTGTACGTTTAGCTTTATAAGTTAACTATCAATGCTCAAACATATTGTTGAAATGTAAGATTCCATAGCTTTAATATTTTAATTGAGCACAAGGCTGACACAACACTCAAGACTATAATGAAACAAAGAAAAATGAATTTACATCTGAACATGTTTTTGTAATTTTAAAATCTTATTATTTTTATATTTCCTTTCCCACAATTGCCTTTCCTTTGTCTTTGTGGTCTCAATGCATAAGAAGATACCTAACTGCCTTTGATTCCTCACCCAAGAAACAGTGCAGCTGGTGTGTAAATTAAATTGTTATTGTGTAATTTCCTCTGTAGGCCTCCCTTCCACTCAGTATCTCAAATTAATACCACGTCAAAGATCAAAAACTCACTGGAGTGTTGTGTAAGGGATGTTGACAGGAAGAAAGGGAGGGAGGAAATTAAAGGTATAACTGTTTGAAGGATCAAGTTCAGCAGGTAATAGAAAAGACAAGTGGAATGTTGGCCTTTATTTCAAAGGAACTGGAATAGAACAGTAGGACAAAAACCAAAGAAGGCACTAATTAGACCACATCAAGAATACAGTGAATAGTTTTGACCTCTTTTTCTAAGGGAAGATTTACTAGCACCGGAGGCAGTCTAGAGAAGGTTCACTAGGCTGATCCCAGGAATTGTCTTATGAAATGAGGATGAGTAGGTTAGGCCTGGAATTTAGGAGAACAAGAGATTACATTATTGAAACATTCAAGACTCTTAGGGGACTTGACAGGGTAGACGCAGAATGGCTGTTTCACTTTTTCAGAGAATCTAGTAATAGAGAGCATAGTCTCAGAGTAAGGGGTCATCCAGTTAGGGGAGAGATGAGGAAAACCTTCTTCTCTCAGAAGTTAGTGAATCTGTGGAATTCCTTAGCCATTAAGAATATGCAAGGCTGAGACAAACATTTTATTTTAAATCGGTTGGGGAATTGAGAGTTATGGGGAAAAAGGCAGAAAAGTGGAGTTGAGGATTATCAGATCAGCCATTGAATGGCAAAGCAGACTTGATGGGCTGAATGGCCAACATCTGTTTCCATATCTTATGGTCTTGTAGACTGCAACTCTATCAAATTACAAGGAGGTAGGTGCCCACAAAATAAAATCACCTTCAAATTCAGTTTTTTTTGTATGAATGATCCCAACATATACCTTCAGTAGTTTCACAGTTTGGGAAGAATTTGGCAGTGTCTGATTAAAACGGTACACATTTGATACCCAGAGATAACAAGGTGTAGAGCTGGATGAACACAGCAGGCCAAGCAGCATCAGAGGAGCAGGAAGGCTGACGTTTCGGGCCTAGACCCTTCTTCAGAAATGGGGGGAGGAGGGTAACTTCTTCAGGGTAGGCATCCTTAGAAGAGTCTTCGCAGTGGGGTTAAAATTGTTTCAGAGATAGTAAGAACTGCAGATGCTGGAGAATCTGAGATAACAAGGTGTAGAGCTGGATGAACACAACAGGCCAAGCAGCATCAGAGGAGCAGGAAGGCTGATGTTTGGGGCCTAGACACTAAACGTCAGCCTTCCTGCTCGTCCTGCTGTGTTTATCCAGCTCTACACCTTGTTATCTCAGATTCTCCAGCATCTGCAGTTCCTACTATCTCTGAAACATTTGATACCCAAGTTCCTCACAATGAAGTATGTAAACAAAGTCTATTAAATCCAACTTTTTGAAAAATAGATGAAGTTTTGTAAAATGCATTGATCTTGGTTTAAAAATATACTCCGAGTGGGATCAGACTGAACTAAAACTATTGTAATCAGAGTCAGGGGTACTATCACAGTGCAGCCTCTGAACTCAAGATATTTCTAATTAATTTGTTCATGCATGTTACTACATGCCTCTGGAGCAAGTGGGACTTGAACCCGGGTCTCCAGGCTCAAAGGCACCAACACCAACACCAAGGCAACGCAAAACACCTCCTTCCCCTTCAATTGAATTGTCCACTTGGGATTTACTGCTCAAGGGTTGCATCCAATCTTACCGTCAGCTGATTGTCCGTTCATTATTCCCTGCGGTCGAATGTTTAAAGGATAAGGTGCTTTATTCTTGAAATGGATCTGTAAGGTATCTCCTACTTCTGCTCGTAGAATGGGACCCAGCAACCCTGCAACAAGTAAAATGAGAGATTGCAAAAGCAAATTATAATCAAAATCTAAATACATAAATAAAATCAACTGTAGAAAATAACAATAATAAATTGTTTAACTCAGGGAGCATCGCTTGATACGCTCGGTATATTCGATTAGATTTTCAATGAGTTACCTCTCCAGTTCGGGCCAGGCTTTTCTCTGTTAAAGTCAGCGTCACGGTACTCCTTGTAAACAATCTTGTAATAAGTGTCCGTTTCAGCAGAACTGAAAACACGCCTTTAAAAGGGTCAAACAATGAATGAGCACCACAAATGTAATGACTGATAACAATTTTAATGATTTGTGTGGGGAGGGGGGGGGGTGAGGTAATATTCAAAATCGTTGGTCAATGGGTTAAATTTGAAGAAGTCACGAGAAAGAGGCTGGCTGGTAAAGAAAAGGCTTAAACAAAATCCCCAGAATCAACAGTTGAATGTTGTTTAAATGTGGAGGTGTACCTTTCTCCCCAATCTCTGGAATAAGTCCATTCGATTTCCACAGCAGCCAAATGGTGCAGCCTGTTCACTGCCAGTCCGCCCCGGAGGAGACATGAAATGAACAGCACGAGTGGGCAACAGCACTTCATGGTGTTATCCGGGCCGAATGTACAAACTCCACGGACTTGCTCACTTTATTTGAAATCGGAGTTCGCAGTCCTGCTCGGGTGACCCGGGGTTAGACTTTTATCTCGCCACCTCCGCCACGTCCGTGAGAACATCAAATAACAAATCACCCGTCACAAGCTTGTGTGTAAACATGAGCCACCTACTCTTAAAAGCACCGCTCAGTGGCAGATGAATTTCCGCCAGAGTTCTGTACATGTTCGGCAGCAATTGCATAGCAATTACCAAAAACAGCCCCCCAAAAAAGCACGTACGTGGGGCTATCAAAGAAACGTTACATCAAGTTCAACCCGTTCAAGTACAGCCGTGTAATAAAACAGAGAACTGCAGATGCTGGAGATCCGGAACAAACAAAAACAGAAATTGCTGGAGAAAAATCAGCAGATCTGGCAGCATCTATGGGAAGGAAAACGCCTTCTGAAGGGTCACTGGACTTATAACGTTAACTGGTATTATCTCCACAGATGCTGCCAGACCTAGAGTTTTTTTTTCCCACCAGCAATGTCTGTTTCAGTTATGGTTTTCCCACTGTTGCTGAAGGGAGGAACCTGAAACGTTATCGTTTTCTCTCCCTGCTCATGCCCTCTGAGCAGCTGATTGTTCTCCGAGCAGTTCTTGGTTGAACAGGTTTTAAAATGAGATTTAGGCCCATTATAACGACCGTGAAATGTGGTGGGAAGCACATATTCTTCATGTAAAAGCCCCTGTGGGCCATTCTCTCCAGCAAGCCTCAATATTTCCAAACAATGTAAAGGGTGCCAACACCTGGCAAGCAACAAAGGGCGCCTCCTCTTCTTCCTTGGGAAATGCACACTCGTCCGTCACGTAACAGGATAAAGCAACTTTCTTTTTACATTATAGATCATATTACACCACATGCTGGAGGCTTTTTCATTCAAAATCAACAATTAATGTTTAACTTAACCACTGCAGCTGTGCAAATAAGGGTAAAAACACTCTGCTTTCCAAAAGATTTGAAGATTAAAATCCTACTTCAGTGCTTCCAGCACACTTCAGAAGCGTGGGTCAGTAATCTCTTCTGGCAGCTTTGTGATGTACACGGTTTGGGTTCAATCCCTGCACTGACTGAGGTTACTAGGAAGGACTCTCCTTCTCAAACTCTCCCCTCTTCTGAGACAGGTGACCCTCAGATTAAACCACAACCAGTTGTCTCTCTCTCTCTCTGTAATGAGTCCTGTGGTCCAGTCAGACTATCACAAATTTACCCATACATGAACGTGTGGTACTTTAGGCTATGATCAGCCCTTTGCTGAAATGAATGCATCACCAGTCAGCAGAACAGTTATGTTATGTTATGGGAGCTCAGCAGTTGATTTGTAAAACACTAATCTGTCTGAATTGTAAAGATCAAATTGATTGAATCTGTTGGTTTGTCTTTCTCTTTCCACTTAGCAGTCTTGCTCAATCAAAAATGTTATTTTCCTTTCACGTCCTCTGCCTGAAGACAGTACAACCATCCCCAGCACAGATAGGGCAAGGAAGCAGGTGCCAAATCCACCCCAGCCAGAACAGGGATCAACTCGCCTATTGTTGGCACCAATCTGATCAACCTGGTCAGCAACTAACCAGATCCACAGGAGATCCAAGTTGCTGTAACTACATTCTCTTTACTTGAGTCATGGCTATTGAGGGTAGAGATTTCAATTTCTTTCCAGCAGAGTCGTTGTGTATATATACATATACACGCACAGATAGTTTCTTGATCATTGGTGGAATCAAACATAATGAGAAAAATGCAGGAAAACAGACGTGAGGGATGTCAGATCAGTCATGATCTTAATGAATGGTGGAGCAGGCTGAAGGGGCCAAAAGGCCTACTCCTGCTCCTATTTCTTATGGTTCCAGCAGAGAGGATCCATTCCTCTCACCAGCTGCCACTGACTTCTGTTGGAAGGATTTCTTTGGCCACGTTATAATTGTACCTCTCCTGTCTCCAATGGCCTACTGTTTAATTCTCCACGTTCTTGTGATCATTTTTCTGTTTCAGCCTCCTGCAATGTTTGAATAAAGCTCAAAGAGCAGAATCTTACCTTTCAATTAACAGTTTTCAGTCTTCCAGATTAGACAAAGTTCAACAATTTCAGATCATTATCTCTGCCCCCGTTTTGCTTCCAACTTCTTTGCTCATCTTGGTTAAATTATTCTGTTTTTACATTTTCGCTTTCTGATGATAACTATTCATCATTCTGCCATTCACCCTGCTCAAGACATTTTTAATCTCTTCTATCACCGCTCTATTTCAGCTTATAACACCAATCCTTTTGCCATTTAATAGCCTCCTACCTTTACCCTATCACAGACTTCCCTTTTGCTCTTTTTCTCACCCTCCTCCTTTTCACTTGCTTAAAACCAATTATATTTCTAAACTTTACCAATTCTGAAGAAAGGTTGTAGACCTGAAACATTAATTGCACTTCCGTCTCTGGATCCCCGGCATCAGCAGTATTTTTGTGGGAAGATTTTCAAATAAAGCTTTACATTTAAAACTTTATAAAACTGTTTTGCAGATGTCCTGTAGCAAAGCGATAGCCTGTCTGATTCTGATCCAGAGGACATAAATTTAAGTCTTATTCCAGTATTTAATGCTCAAGGAAGGTGCATTGAGGTCAGGCTTGTGGATTGAAGATAGGTGTTCTGCAGTCAGCCAATTTGTGTTTACCTCACCACTGCACAGCAAGCTTCATTGTGAGCTGCAAATATAGTATATTACATTGAAAGCACATGGAAGTCAGTGTTTCACTAAGGAGGTTTAGGGTCTTGGATTATGATGAGTGAGCATAAAGGGGGGCACGTATCACATCTACTGTACTCACAGGAAAAGGAGGCTGCTAGAAGGGGAGGGATGCTTGAAGAATGAGCTAGGGCTGTGTTTTGATTTTTTGCACCACCGCATTTTGCTTTTGTGTTCAGACTTCAAATGGACAAGATAAGCCAAAAGTGAGAAAAGCAGGATTACCAACAGCTGTCTGAAAAAAAACTGGGAGTAGAAGTTACGATCTGAAATTACTGAAGTTGTGTTTGAAAGGCTGTAAAATTTCTAGTGAAAGTCGTGGTGCTGTACCTCCAGTTATGCTGAGCTGCATTATGTTAGGGAACAGACCAAATCCCCTCAAAACATTTTAAGGTAGCCTAGACCCTAGCTTTTTCTTATTTTAAAATTAAATGTAAGGTATTGCATTCCAGATGCAATTCAATGGGGCAAACTATTCAACATTAAGCAAAACACACCTTATTCATACAGTATAGTTAAACTATAACAGAAGAAAAAAGAAAAGAAAAATTGGCTTAGCTGTAGTGATAGTAGGAACTGCAGATGCTGGAGAATCTGAGATAACAAGGTGTAAAGCTGGATGAACACAGCAGGCCAAGCAGCATCAGAGGAGCAGGAAAGCTGACGTTTTGGGCCTAGACCCTTCTTCAGAAATGGGGGAGGGGAAGGGGGTTCTGAAATAAATAGGGAGAGAGGGGGAGGCGGATAGAAGATGGATAGAGGAGAAGATAGGTGGAGAGGAGACAGACAGGTCAAAGAGGCGGGGATGGAGCCAGTAAAGGTGAGTGTTGATGGGAAGTTAGGGAGGAGATAGGTTGGTCCAGGGAGGACGGACAGGTCAAGGGGGCGGGATGAGGTTAGTAGGTAGGAGATGGCGGTGGAGCTTGAGGTGGGAGGAGGGGATAGGTGGGAGGAAGGACAGGTTAGGAAGGCGGGGACGAGCTGGGCTGGTTTTGGGATGCGGTAGGGGGAGGAGAGATTTTGAAGCTTGTGATGTCCACATTGATACCATTGGGCTGCAGGGTTCCCAAGCGGAATATGAGTTGCTGTTCCTGCAACCTTCGGTGGCATCGTTGTGGCATCGTTGTGGCACTGCAGGAGGCCCAGGATGGACATGTCGTCTGAGGAATGGGAGGGGGAGTTGAAATGGTTCGTGACTGGGAGGTGCAGTTGTTTATTGCGAACCGAGCGTAGGTGTTCTGCAAAGCAGTCCCCAAGCCTCCGCTTGGTTTTCCCGATGTAGAGGAGGCCACAATGGGAACAGGGGATGCAGTATACCACATTAGCAGATGTGCAGGTGAACATCTGCTTGATATGGAAAGTCTTCTTTCACAGAGAGAGTGGTCCCTCCGGAAAAATGTTCCCTCCCCACCCTTATCTGCTTTCTGGAGGGACCACTCTCTCCGTGACTCCCTTGTCCGCTCCACACTCCCCTCCAGCCCCACCACACCCGGCACTTTTCCCTGCAACCGCAGGAAGTGCTACACCTGCCCCTACACCTCCCGCCTCACCCCCATCCCAGGCCCCAAGAAGACTTTCCACATCAAGCAGATGTTCACCTGCACATCTGCTAATGTGGTATACTGCATCCGCTGTACCCGGTGTGGCCTCCTCTACATCGGGGAAACCAAGCGGAGGCTTGGGGACCGCTTTGCAGAACACCTACGCTCGGTTCGCAATAAACAACTGCACCTCCCAGTCGCGA